GAGTTCGAGGCCAGCCTGGGCTACCAAGTGAGCTCCAGGAAAGGCGCAAAGCTACACAGAGAAGCCCTGTCTCGAAAAAACCAAAAAAAAAAAAAAAAAAAAAAGAGCTAGCTAGGAACAAGCCTAAGCTATAGGCTGAGCTTTCATAATTAATAGAGTCTCCATTTGGAGAGCTGGCTTGTGGGACAGAAAAAGACACATTACACTCAACTTACAATGTCATGCAACAAGAGCTCAAAATACAGGTGATTGGCCATGTTGACACCAAAAATTTTGCTAAATAAAAAAATTTTTTTATATATAATAAACTCAATCACATGAATGAATGCTCCATGGCAGCTGTTTAGTGTTTTTTAAAGTCTATGTTTCTCCCTGTTACTTCTTTCTATATCTTCCAAGGGCACTTCAAACCCACACAGTAGGCAGTCAGTTGGCACTGAGGTTGGAAGTCTGAAGAACAAGTGTCTCCTAGTGGGGTGGTCCTGGAATATAGACAGTGGGCATTTGTGAGAAACAATGATAAGAAGGCCTTCCACAAGCAGGGCTCCACAACCAGTCCACCCCATGTGTTTTACAGAGAAGCTGATGAGAAGGAGCTGTGATTGCCTGAACTGTGCAAAGGCACTCTCTGAAAATGAATAACCAATTGGACTGCATGATCTAAAGAGAGTATACAATCTTTAGGTGTGGCATAGCTCAATGAGTTCAGCTCAAGGTGTCAGTGACTCGCAAGTGTATGGACAGCATTCTAGAAGAAAGTCAGTATTCTACAATTAAAAAGCATTTTGTTCATTTATCATGGTGTCTCTTTCCCTGTTCTCCCTCTCTGTTCTTGACCCCATGGGAATAGGAAGAAGCAAAGTGCTAGAGAGGTCCCCAGAAATTCACGAAGATACCTCCACAATAGACTACTGGCAATGGTCGAGAGACAGCCCGAACTGACCTACTCTGGTGATAGGATGGCCAAACACCCTAACTGTCATGCTAGAAACCTTATCCAATGACTGAGAGAAGCAGATGCAGAGAGCCATGGCCAGGCCCCAGGTGGAGCTCCTGGAGTCCAATCAGTGAGAGAGAGGAGGGATTATATGAGCGAGAGATGTTGAGACCAAGATTGGAAAAAGCACAGGGACAAATAGCCAAACTAGTGGAAACACATGAACTATGAACCAATAGCTGAGGAGCCCCCAACTGGATCAGGCCCTCTGTGAATCTACCAGGCTGAGCTGAATCCCCAGGGGAGTCCTTGCCCTAGAGGAGATGGGAATGAGGGGTGACTGGGGGAAGGGGGGAGGGGGAAGGAGGGATGACAGGGGAATCCGTGGCTGATATGTAAAATTAAATTAAATTATAAAATTAAAAAAATAATAAAAGAAAAAAAGCATTTTGTTTCATTTCACTTCATAAATAACTTTTTATCCTAAAGCAGGTCAATGTGAGGCTTAATTCTAAATTGAATCCATTTATGAAGAATACTGGTAGAGAAAACTCTCCTGGGTACAGTCGGCTCTGTAGCCAATGCACTTGATAATCCTCTTTTTGGTTCCTATGGAGAGAACCTCTACTGTGGCAAAATCATTGCTAGCAAATTGAGGACCACCAGCAACCCCACACCCTCCCTCGGGAGGATGGAGGCTATAGCTAATGTCAGAGCCACGCTCAGGAAACAGGATTGTTTCAGAGTAGACTTGTGACTTCAGCTGATCACTTTCTACACTGCTGGGTAGTTGCGTTTTCTCTTGTTGAATCCAGGTAGTACAGCTATTGGCCTAAAACTGTTCAACAATGTAGAGAGAGGGTAAGGAGAACATGAAAGCATACATCTAACATGCAAACCAGAGACAGAAACAAGTAGAAATGAGAAATGCGAGGAAGAAAAAGAAAGGAGGTGATATCACTATTGCCTTAACCACTGGAATCAGACAAATAAAAGAATAAACCTTTCTCTGGCTTCAAGTTAGAGCAATCAGTAAGGCCTCTGTTATGATGAAGTTGGTTTAAGCTGTGTTTCTGGCTATTATATTGCAAAAAAATCAATATAGTTTGTATGATTATTCTACTTCACTGCTTCTGAGAACTGTCAACTTCACTACACACAAAACTAGTAACTATGACGTCAATAAAAAAAACCCACGAAGCTTATATAACAGTTTGGACAATATTGATAATGTATTGACTATTTGCTATGT